GAGGCTGCCTGCCAGAGGCCGTGCAGCTGATTAGCAGCTGTGCGTGTATATCTGAGAGAAGGCTAGCCTTCTCCTTTGGCTTTGTTTTCTCCCAGTGTAGCTTCAACAGAGCTAAAAGGTAAACATCCCCATTCTTTTTCTGTTACTGAGTTTAAATTTTAGATCTACGTTTGCCTGCATGGCCCTTTCCCTTCTATGTATCCTCCCTGCTTGCTTTTCATTTGAGCAGTCGCCTTTTTCTCTTCCTGTGCTGGAATAGTAAGTCACGCCAGGTTGTTAGGGAGAAAATTGTCCATGCAGGAACAAAACAGGAAACCAGGCAATCAAAAGGGCAACACAAATAGCGCATCACCCAGTAAGTAAGCGCCAGGCACGCCGGTCTCTCAGAGTTAGGCTTTTCGCAGCACGTGATCACAAGGCTGGTGCTGCAGCAGCTGGGCATGGGGAGAAATTGACTTCTTTCCTGGGCATGTGCTGACAGTGCATTTAAGCGTAATCCTGAATCGATGAGACATCATGAATGGTCGTGCCCTGGGCTGGGATTAGGCTGGCCTGGCACATTCAGCCTGAGCAAGGCTGACCGGGTAATTGAGCGGGTGTGTTATCGTCTCTGTGGAGGTGTCTCTTCAAAAGTGATAAAATGTTCACTGGGTAATCTGCTCAGCAGCTGACAAGAATGCTTAGGCCAAGCCCCGTTTATCGACGTGTGAGTATGTAGCTGTCCTCTGCAAGCTGGCTCACCAAACTCCCTTCATCGATCGTAGTGGCCAGAACTGCAAAAGCTGCTACCAGAAACCTGCTCGGCTCCTGATCAACAGGATCCTGCAAAACCATGATGCAAATCATTGCATCGGGTGAGAGCAAGCCCCCCAGGGCAGATCTCAGTGGGAAAACCTATCTGTCACCTATGTCCATGAACTATTAAAATCAGTTCAGTGGAATCAGATCACACGCTCGGTTTGAGGTTTTTATTTTTCTATTTTCTGAAACCACATCAGTTTTTGCAGAAAGCTAGGGACAAAACCTGAAAGTGTTTTCAGTAGCAGCGCATGGGGTTTGTGGGTATTGTCCATGATGACATGAAGCCTGAATGGTAGGGACTGTCTCCTCAAAACTTCTGGGGTTCTGTACCTCTGGGTAACTGTGTGCAAATCCTCTATCTCTGTGTTCATTTTTTTCCCTGCTTTACCCATATTTGGGCCCTGGATGTCTCTGGAAAATAGATACTTTTATCTTTGCAGTCTTGCAGGAGTTCATGATTTTACCATCTTTCCTCTTGCTAATCCCTCTCTTCTGTTCCATAGGTACCAACCACTCTTTTCTCACAATGAGCCTAACTGGTTAGTACAATCTATGTAAATTAAGAGCTCTTTCTTTTTTCTCTGTCTGTAATTAGCCTGAAGTATACTGCTTCCGTTTTATAAATGAAGAAAAGTCTTGCCTGATTTTTCCAGAAATATCAGTTGGCTTTATTAAAAGACCAGTAAAACTCCCTGCGTGTACGTTTCGTGGAAAACAGAATAAAGTACCAACTCTTGATACAAATTCTCAAAGACACATTTGATCCAGTATTTCAGACAGCATCTCCATTTCAGCTGCCTTGCTTTCTCAGGGAAGGGTGAGCTCCCGTTGCAGAGGGCCCGGGATCAGCTCCCTGCAGCGCTGGGAGCTGGTGGGAAGCCTGCCAGCCCCAACCTGTTCTCTGATCCCCCATCTTGTGATTGCAGTCACAAGGCCAACTCTCTGCGGCTGGCCGTTCAGACTAACTGAATTTCCAGCCAAAGTAATTAGCGAACAACTGCTTGCTTATTAGAGGCTGGTGGGGTTTCTGTGTTTTCTTGTGTTATTGGATACCACGAGGTTTACGTAGTTTGCTTTTATTTTACTTCTTAAATAGGTGCAAAGGTGCCTTGAAATTGGAAATAAGAATTAGGTTTGGCAACGAGTCGGAAACCAGTGTTTTAGGAGCAGTCATGTTTGTTATATACCTGGTACATACTTTCCTTTCCACATCCTCCTCCAAAAGTAATAGGAAGCATTGGTTTATATATAATTTTATGTCAAGAAACCATTAAGTACTGATATAAAGGCACAAGTGTGAACTAATATTAAACGCATGTCTGTTCCTTCATGTACTTGATGTTTCCATGTATTTTCAATTCTGTATCATGCTGATGAGTATCTGAGGAGTAGTATCAGGCATCACCTTCTTCTGTAAGCGGAGGCAAAGTCAGAGCACCTCTGTCACGAGCACTGGTCCACGCCAGCTTCCCTGCTCCTCCTGACGGCGTTGATGGCAGCTCATGGTGCATCCCCTTTCTCACCGCTCCAACCACTAAATACAGTCTCTGGATTCTTTAAAAAAAAAAAAAGCTATGTCTCATTTTCTCAGCTGTCTGGATGCCCTCAGACACCCTAGCACCTGGCAGCTGACAATGAAGGGAAGTTGCAGCCCAGTATCGCAAGGGCTTCGTAGGTGGTGACCCCCCCACAGACACCCTGTGGTTTGTGTCAGAGAGCTCTGGAGAAATGGTCTGAACTGGTATCGCACTGGGAAAGGAAGCTTTAAACTCCTTCCTGTGAATTTAAAGAGGACTCTGTAGAGCAGTCCGGTTGCAGCGTTGTGCTAGATGTAGCAGAGAACATGTAAGTACTTAGGAAAACAGTGTAGGTGCAGTAAGTGGGATTCGGGTGAAGAAAATTCAATGTTCACACCAAAGAAAGTTGCTGCTTTCTTAATCTGCATTTGGGATTTGCATGGGTTGTTTATACAGGGAAGATACTGATCTCTTTGTAGATACCAGCCACCCAGCAGCCCACAACCTGTGAGCGTTATCATTTAAGCATCAGCAGCCACACAAACTGCAGTTGTTTGTCAGATCGGTGACCCGGTGCTAGCTCCTCCACTAAGAGGTGCTTCTGGTGCAAACTCAGGGAAAAAAAAAAATATGCGAAAGCTAGCAGCTGGGATTATATGCAGATTTTGCTGTGAAATCATACTTAAATGAAGGCAACTCAGGTGCTGTTATGCTGCCAGAATGACTGACATGTTGCAGTACGCAGATGCATAGTTTAACTACCAGCACAGGAACGCAGATCTTAGTCAGTAGAGTGTGTATACTCCCGCAATACAAACTTTATTTCAGCACGTCCCTAAAAGGTGGTTGCTTTTAGAGGCCCTGTGGTTACACTGGGGAGTACCAAGTCCCGGTTCTTGCTCTGTCCCTAATCATCTCTCCTGGCCCCTTGGAAACAGGACCAGGTTACAAGTGATCTTTCTTCTGATGCACTACTGGTATTGTTAGCTTACTAGACTAGCCTCAAATTATGCTTGATTTTAGGTTTCGGATTTAAAAAATACAATAGGGTTTCTCAATAAATTGGTGACATCAACAACTGTTTGTATTCTTATATGTGGGGGAGAGAGAGAGTGAGTATATATGTATAAAATACATATATAAACATATATATGCACACATACACTGTATGCATATTTTGTTTGCAGGAAAACTGATTTACTAGCTTTCATAGTCAGAGTGCGTTCTCCAGTATTAAGTTGGCTGTTACCTAAACCCTCGCAGTCTTTTCTGCTTCCTCTTCATTCTCCCAGATTTAAGTGTTGCCTGTGTTTTGCTGTTGATAGCAGAGATTCAGGAAGCACATGACAAGGAATAGAATAAACAAGTACAATGCTGTACTTGCTGATCCTGGGCAGTTGTCACTGTTAGAGCTTTAAAGAGTGCCAGATAAAGACCTGCAGAAAGAGTGCTTTGATATCTGAAGCAGCACTGAAATCATAGCCTCACCCCTGGGATAACAATACCTAAGGGTAAATACCTGTCCTGTATAATTTTCTGTCTTTATTCAGCCTGCCTCTTCTTTATGAATAATAGAACATACTTGTAAGTTTAAAAGTAACCATTGGAGTTTCTTGGCAGGAGTATTTTTAACTCCTATCTATGTCCTAATGTAATTCACAGAGTGTTCTCAATAAAGTCTTGTACCAGCAAGGCTGGGAGTGTGGAGCAGGGGTGAAAATGAGCAGATGGGGCAGGAGCTGCTTACGGCAAGATGGTCGCCGAAAGAAAGGTCCATATAATGGAGACAGGAGGGTTATAAAGGCATCAGGATGTCTAATACTTAAAGTGGCCTAAACCCCAGTTTTCACACCCTTATCATTTAACATAATCACACATCTCTTTTAATCAATAATTTTTGCTCTCATTGGTCAATGAGTGCCTGCTAGTTTCAGAGCTGATTCCCAATATCCTTAGGCAGTGCCAAGTCTGAGACGTGGCACTAGGGCACCAACAGGACGGGTGTGCTGGAGGTGGCTAGGAACGGCAGTGTAGCGTGTATGCTTCAATCCGAAATGAGAACCTTCCGAAGTAAAAGAAAATGGAAGTGTAACAGTGGCTTTGTGGCAATAGCTCATCTTCTGTTGCAGAGGACAATGGATAAACAGGGAATACGCATGATTTGACTGTCACATCCGTAGCAACGGTGTATTGTAATTTGTGCCATTGAAGGTTACGTGTCTGTAGATAACACAAGGCATTTTCCTGTTCTTATGAGAATTGAAATACCGTGGCAACATTGCAGCCTTTTCATCTTTATTAATTACCCAAGACATATATAATTTGGAGCTTAAAAACACTGTTTCAGGCAGCACGAGACTTTTGGTCTTCTCAGGGCTGGCAAGATAAAAAGCACCTGCAACAAAACCTCTGGCAGAAAATCCAGATAATGGCATTGCAAATGTTGATGTGAAAATCCCGTCTCAAACTATTTCAACCATGTAATGTCAGGTGTCTTCTCAGGGCTGGCAAGATAAAAAGCACCTGCAACAAAACCTCTGGCAGAAAATCCAGATAATGGCATTGCAAATGTTGATGTGAAAATCCCGTCTCAAACAATTTCAACCATGTAATGTCAGGTGTAAAGCTTCAGATCAAATGGGGGTACTGACACAATCCACTTCTTTTTGTTAATATTATATAAAGTAAGTCACTTCTTTAATAATCAGGCCTCTGTCTCTACATTTGCACTGCATAAATCAGAGTTAAAGGATTTTTACATTTGTCTGCATGGAGAAATGAAATTTTTGTTTTTCCCGTCAGCCATTCTCACTAGTTTTCTTGTTCTCATAAAGTGTGATTTTCACTGAGAGATGGGTGCTAATTGCTAGAATCCACCATCTTGAAAGGTACAGCTTTTCCTGTAGACTGAAGACGGATGAGCAAGGTTTGATGTGGAAAAGCCTTTAGCTGGTCTTCTGGTGTTTCTGTACGCAAGCGAGGTATTCCTGCACGTCATCTGGAGACCCGAGGATAAGAGGGACTCTCTGGTGAATACTCTCAGGTTTCACATCCAACACCGCCTCAGCGCCTGTAGTTGCCATCCCACCTGCCTGCTCAATGATGAAAGCCATAGGGTTGCACTCATAGAGAAGTCGAAGCTAGAAAGAAAGAGGGAACATGTGATTGCCTTTGGGGGAAATTACACCAAAGGACTTACCGGAACCTAACCTTCCTTTTGTTATTTTGGAAAATTTTGTACCAAACATCAGTTGACCTAAGTAGCAATGTCTCTCTATCAGCTCCTTCTTCTTCCCTCTCCTCCTGTCACCTCCCTTCACTCCTTCTGTTTCAAGGAAGAGTGTACTGACCCTGCATCCAAGTGTCACCACCATCGTTTCCAAGCTGATGTACTGATGTGCAGCATCAGTGCAGTTGTATTTTTTCAAAAATGTCAGAAGTAGCTGTTGGGCCCACAGACATCAGCAAAAGAGTTAAGCCAGCTAAGTTAACAGTACCAGGAAAGAAAAGTCAAAATCTCTTCCCGTGTACAGACTTTATGTGTTACCTCAGAGTTTGGGGTAATTGCATTGTGTTTGGTCAGGCTATTTTGGAGTTTAAAACTCGATGCTCCCAGTTTCAAATTTCAGGATTTGATTGCAGCCTTCAGAAATGTGAATAGGTATTAGTGGCCTGAACTCATCCAGATAGTGACTCTGTTTTCCGAAGTAACTGCAGTAATTATTAAAAGCAAATTTTTCCTTTAGGTATGGAGGCACTTTTGGTTTGGACCCTGGTATCTGTTCACATCTTTAAAAATGTTACCTCTGGTGTTCCGGTGGAATGCAAACTTATTTGGGACATATGCCAAAAGTTTCTGTGTTTAAAAGGACATAGATGATAGCTGGTTATTTTTTAACAGACATTATTTCTGCAGGTTTAGTTGAATCTTTGACAGTCTATGAAGTGTTCATGTACGACAATGTTAGTACATAGTATGTTTCAAGGGCTTTTCATACGTGCAAAGGAGAGAATATTTTCTAAGGAAAAGGAAACGTGACAGAATGCAACTGTATAGAGAGACAAAGAAATGGGTCGGACACAGGACTTTGCTACCCATCATTCCCTTATCACGCTGTTCGTAATAAAACCATGATATATCACAAACTTAAATAGCACATATTACCTTCATTCTTATCTTTAAAGCCCACTACCAGAAGTGCTACTTCTGGTACAAGGACTCCATCTGACAGGCAACATAGGACCCATAGCCTTTGTTGTTCTCCTTAGTGCATGGTCAGCTTTTGGAAGATCATGAGCCAGAAAACAGCAGTGATGCTACTGCGGAACCACATGTTGAGTTTCTTGTTGCTTAACTGTGACTACATGGCTTAAGAAAAGCGGTTTTCTTTCAGATAGTAATGCAGTTGCACTTAGGGGTCTTCATATGGGCTCTGTCTTCAGATAGGTTTAACATTTTTCAGCTAGGAGAGAACTGTAAGCCTTAAGTTCATAAAAAATATTATTTAACATATCTGGTTTGAAAAGAGGATCTATTTGTTGGCTGGTTCTGCACTGGTTATTGACCATTTTGTTCTTATTCTTTCTTTAACTTAAAGAAGGAGCTCTATATGCTAGGGCCTACATGCATGTCATTTACATTTGCTCTAAAGCCTTTGGATCAATTCCACTGACATTTGCTTCCTCTCAGCTCTCTATCCAAATGCATAGGCTGTCTTTCAGGGGGATGATGATCAGGACACCTGCCACAAAGGCATTATCTCTCCAACAAGAAGAGGTTTATGTGAAAAGACCTGTATACACCTGCACTCTGAGAGGGAAAAAAGAAAACTTTTATTTGTAATGGTAATACAGTTTTGCTTCTTTTATTACTGTCTCTACTATGGCAGTGCAAGCCAGATCAATCTCATAGTCAATGTAGGCTAACTCATGCAGAAATCTTGATTTCTATAAAATTATGTAAGTACTTTGTATATTTGTTATTTTGTCCCATTTCTCATCTTTTCTCTTCAACAATGGTTTAACACAGATTTCAAAACAAAAAGTTTGATTTGAAGAGGCCAGTCAGCAAACCCACTTCTTCCACACACAGCAAATTCCTTTTTTGTCTCTTGCTCTGATACACAAACAGATCCACACTGTTTAATGGGGGGTTTTGTTGTTGTTGTTGGTGGTGGTTGGTTGGTTTTTTTCTGGGATGCTGTAATCAAATATTTAAACCAAGGTTGCCTGGACAAACATGCAGATATTTTCTGTTGTGTATTCCAAAAAGAGTTCTTTTCCTGTTCTCTTTGTTTCCCAGACCACTTTGACCTGCCCTTATTGTGATAAATACATGCTCACCAGGACGGAACCGGTAGTCCTCTGTCCCTAAAGAACTGTAGACATCAGGGTGTTCTGATACCAGTGTGGGAGATGGGGCAAGTAGTTTTATGAGGGCAAATCCCTGCACATACCAGCTAAGGATACAACAATGTTTGAATAGAAGATTTTAAGTATGGTACTGACCAGGAAAGAAGAAGGTCTTGGAGTCAGAACACCATGGCTAATCTATTATGCATTGAGCCAATCATTTCCTAAGCACGACCTGCACGTTACTGGTGGTCCACAGATCAGCTGTATAACCAGATCTCTTTTAAAACATATCTGTTTAGAAGTTTGATAATGAGGGTATCTGATGCTGCAGGAAAAAAGTTGAAGTTGACTATGGTCCACAGCCCAGCAGATTCAGGGAGTCACTGCATTGCATTGCACTGCATCAAGTCACAGTGTCTTTTGTACAGGCGTCCAAATGGGAAATTGTCTTTTCCCAGAATACTGATCTCGGCACACGTGAAACTCACCTTCCACTGACCGTCTTTCAGATCAGTTAGCAGAAGCCTGTGTTTGCAGGGCTGGTGATAGTAAGCTCAGTACCCTTTGGAAACAGTAGGTAGGCAAACTCAGTTGTCTAATATTGGACAAAACCCTGTCTGGAGTTCAGCATATCCCGGCATCCATATACAAAACCCTGTCTGGAGTTCAGCATATCCCACCTGGACTAGTTGCCAGTATAAAGTGCAGAGGTCTTCCTTAGGCCTGTGCTGTATCTGCCACCTGTGCATAGGTATCTCGACGGCTTTCTGTGGTACTGAAATGTTTCTCTTTAGAAAAATGAATAAAGCCCTTGGTTGCAGTGAAAAACATTTGACTAGTTTGTAGTATAAAAGCACGCAGGAAGATTTCTGGCCTAAATTGGCAATTGCCTAAATTTCTTGCCTAAATTAGATTGCTGACCATTGTATCCATTAATAATTTCCTCCAGGGATGGAAAATTATTATCTGTTTATATATCTAAACTATTCCTTTACATCTTGGGGGAAAAAACAGAGGTATTAGGTTGACTAAGTTCACCAGAGAGTAAGTCAAATGATTTACCTTTCCTTTAGGACTCTTCTGATTAGCAGGATACATGAAGATCCCACCATACATCAATGTACGGTGAACATCAGCTACCATGGAGCCCACATACCTGGCACCATATGGGGAACTGCCATCCTGAAAAACATACAGTGAAGCATTATGTCTACCAGGCTAGACAGCTGGTAGCATGGCAAAATGTAATTTTGTTATGAAACAGGAATGAAAGCTGCTTAAATCAATGGCTGCTTATGGACACTGTAAATGCCTAAACCAGCCTGAAGCTTAGCCTTTTGTAAGATGTAGTGATCGTCTACAGGGTTCTAAAATACGGACTTTAAAGAGCTGCATTCACAGTATGGAAACCAGGGTGCCTGTAATTTGAGTGCACAATTTGCTATCAACCCCCAACCTGTGAAAAAGCAAGGGCTGCAAACAGTGAGTGAAAGCTTCTTCACATTATCAGAACAAGGTACCCATATGATTGCTCATCCTTTACTGGTTCCTAAGCCAGGGCATGAGGAAGGATGTCACTTTTCACTACACGTCCAGATGGTTCCCAGGGGACTCCAGCTTTTGCATTCTAGCTTGTTTGTCAAGTTGTGAAATTGGTCATAGCATTCATTCTGCAGCTTAGTTTGGGAGATAGCAATTTATTCATGAATGTGATTTTCCTTGCGCTCAGCTTAGAAATTAATGTTGTTGAAGGAGAGGTTATTTTAGTGAAAGCAATCAGGGAAGTATTCATATCAGTCTCAGGTTTGCTGGTCACAAAAATGGTAAGGTAGGAAATACAGAAGACAAGCAAGGTGTTTTGCACAAATAGAAGTTATATACACCAAATAAGGTCCACCTGAGAAAAGTGACGCTTCGCCATACTTTTATGAAAGGGAGATATACAATACAAATGTAAACTGAAGGAAAGCTTTTTGAAAGCTGCTATGCCAAGAAGTCTATTGGTCCTTTGATATCTCTCACTCTGTCTTCAATGAAGCAGAGGAGGAATTTTCGTTTCCCCGGAAAATTACTAGAGACTGGGACTTCATGTACATTTAATACGCATAATATATTTGTGTATTGCCATGCTAAAAGTTTGAAAAGACCTCTGTGTGTTTTTTCTGTCTGGATCAGTTGTCTAATAAAAGATCTGAGTGCTTTCTGCAAAGCTCACCTTGTTCTGATACTAGATCCAGAGAAATACATAGAGACCTTCAGACATCACAAGTTAGTCACCCTTCCCAGCAAAATCATGAGGTTAGCTGGGAGACAAAAATCCACAAGTGGGAGGAAAAAACACAGATAAAGAAAAACATAATTCTATTTTGAAATCACTTTCTCAAACTGTTCTATACCACTGTGAAATTTTGATATTTACTCTCTTTTAAAATGGGAAGAGATTCTCATGAAATTGCACAATATAATGCAACACAGTGCGAGGAATTTGAGTCCTAAGACACTAAATATAAGAGAACTATTGAAAATTCAGAGGAAAACAATACAAAGTGTGAAAGACATGATGGATAAGACACAGCCTGGAGCTTTTATATTTAGTTTTGTTTAAACCTGGCCCTATTGCTTCCAGGCACAACTGAACAATACTTTTAAGTATTTGATCCCTTATGTTTCATGGCTTACCCTCAAATAATTACATATTTAGACTTCAAATGGTAGCATCTCTATCTCGCAGCTGTTTGCACGTGGGACTTGTGGAAAAAACACCTTAAGAGGTGTTAAAGAGAGACCGAAGCAAGTTTGCAGTTTAAGAAAAGACAATTTTCAGGGAAAGATGTGATTACAGTCTAAAATTACCTTTAAAAATACAATCAAAGGAAGAGCTGTCTTTTATGGTTTCAGAAGGTGATGAAGCAAGTCTTAAGAAAAGTTTGTTAAACATTAAGAAAAGTCATAGTGTATCGGTCATAAGCAGGCCCTGAAACAGACTGCTAAGGACTGCTTCTATGGCACTATCAAATAAGGAGTCTGCAACCCACATGTATAAAATTTACTGACCATGAGCTGCACAGCTGAGCCTCCTGTGTACAAATCATCAGATATGTTTTGGATGTGCTGGATTTCCTATTCGCGTGCAGGTCATTTACACAACTTACGTGTGTATGGGCAGTGTTATGTGGAGCTGACAAGATGCCACTGACAATTTTAGTTGCTTCTTACCCTGATAGAAATTCTCTTGCTAGAAACACCATGCTGAGACTGTGCTGAGAAAAGATACAGAAGAGAAATTCCTCCATTTGGGTACAGCTATCACTTGAACCACAGACTGAAATAAAATTTTCACTTCCCTTAGCATCCAGCTATCTGCATGGGAGGAATAAATAGTCCTTTTAGTTAGAAATGTTATTTCTTGTTTCTCCAGTTTGGACACTCATGTATTTTTCTTACAGATGAGAAACTTAATAGGTGTTGCATGCGTGTTGGCATACTGCCCAGGCTTTCTTCTCAAACAAAATAACAGAGCATGAACGCTAGGGAAATTCATCCCAAGTTCTGAGTAATGCCAAGCTGTGTGTTTGTGCAGTGAGCACTTCGCACTGGTTCAGCTGATGCTAATGAAAGAGTTGGAGAACCTTGATGTTCCCTTGGTCAGCATCCATGGTGTTCGAATAAACCTGTGATTGCTCTTAGTTTCACCATTTCCACTGCTTCTCATTGCTTAACCCAGAGGAACAAAAATGGCTCATAACAGATAGGTCCTGTGATTTTTTTCTTCACAATGTGATGGAAGTCACTTTCTCATTTCTTTATTCTACTGATCTACTATCATCGTCGATGATTGATAACTTCCTTCTCCAAGTGGTAGGGGAGCCAACAAGGAGAGGTACTACACTGGACCTTGTTCTCACCAACAAGGAGGGGCTGGTGGGGAATGTGAAGCTCAAGGGCAGCCTGGGCTGCAGTGACCACGAAATGGTGGAGTTCAAGATCCTTAGGGCACCGAGGAGGGCGCACAGCAAGCTCACTACCCTGGACCTCAGGAGAGTAGA